GTGGTGGTGGCTGTGGCGGTGTGTCTCTCTGTTGGTGCGATCTGGTGGCGGGTCATCTGTGACCAAGTATTTGGCCGGCGCCCTACGGTGTGTGGGTTGGTGTTTTGCAGATGGTGATTGCAGGTGGTGGTGTTGTTTTCAGTTTGTAAATGGTTGTGTTTTAGTGGTGGTGATGGGTGGTGGTGTTGGTGGTTGTTCAGTGGTGGTGGCTGTGGCGGTGATGACAGTGGCGATGTGTCTCTATGTTGGTGTGTATTGGCCGGCGGGTTATCTGTGACCAAGTATTTGGCCATCTGTGATCAAGAATTTAACTGTGACCTAAAATTTTTGACAATGTGACTGAAAAATAATATGTGACCAACAAATTTGAATATATGTGACCAAAGAAATTAAATGTGACTTGTAAATTTTTGATCTGTGACCTCGAAATAATATGTGATCAAAAAATTTGACGATATGTGACCAGTAAATAAATCTGTAACTTATAATTATGAATATGTGACCATTTATCACAAACTGTGACTTTATTATTTTTATTTAGTAAATATTTTTAATTAATTAAATCCATACCTGATTTTTGAATTTTCAAACTATTTACCTTACTTTTGAATTGAGGTAAAGAATACACCTTAGATATGAATTTTTCCCGTGCAACAATCTACTGGCCCAACTATTTTAAGGCACCCAATGTGTGTTTTTGGTCGGGGATACGAAACTAGTCAGATAGATTCCATCTTGTTAACAGTATACACTGTATCCGAAATTCTAAAGAAAATAAGAGCACTAATAAACGAACTTTCAAGAACAAAATTTCCTGTTTATGAAGTAAAGGAAGCTTTATTCAAAGAAATAAAGATATGGGAGAAGTGCAAGACGGTTCTCCTTAGCTGAAAAGATGTGATACTCGTTAAGTCCAACTCGTTGTGCACCGAGGTAGTAATGACATTATAATTTTACTCATTAATGCCTGAACAAGCATGAATCATCAATGAAGGTCTATTACT